CGTCGTTCTGAGCAACTTTCATGTACAAAGTATTTTCATCCGAGTTATGGTTTATTTTATATTAATTTTTAAAGTTTTAATCATTTTTAGAATTTATTTAATTATTTAATTCTAACATTATCCAGAATGGGTATGCTACGTCAGCATGACGTCATCAGTCAATAGGGCGTTGACTGGGTCAATCTGACATGTGGGTCCCACATGTCATTGACTGATTAATTAACTAACAATTAATTAGGTTAATTAGTTATTAGATTAGTCTAATTATGATTAATTAAGTTAATTAATTCTTTAATTAATTAATTAATATTTTTATCATTGTTATTATTATTTTTTAATTCTCTTTTTTTTATATTAAAAATGTTCTGGGCGGGGCCCGCCTGTCATTGGCCCCTGGGGGCTTAGTGGATTGGGCGCTGGTGAAACGGGGCAGAGCCTCGGGTGGGCGGGTGCCGGGCGCCCGACTGGGCGTTGCGACCAGGGAACGAAGGGGGCGCCACGTGGCCGGCGCCGGCGGCCGTGGCCGTGGCCGGAGTGGGCGGCGTCGCGAGGCCGTGCAGAGTAGCAGGGCGCTGGCATGGTCATCGCCGAACTGGCACAGGCGCTAGCCCGGGCACGACATCGAGCGAGGCAGCGGTGGTAGGGCGTGCACACGATGGTCACGGGGCTCGAGAGTGTACGTCGCAGCGGCGGCGGAGTGGCCGCGGGGTGGAGGCAGGGCAGGCGACCAGCGGGAGGGGTAGCCGAGGAGCGCGGCGACGAGACGAGCAGGAGGGAGGAAGGCAGCAACTGCAGGCGACAGCAGGGTTGTGCGTGGGCGTTGTCGGACGCGACGATGACGCGAGCGCAGGATGTGGTGGAGCGGTGGTGGTCGCGGCTACCGGCGCACGACAGGGTGGCCGAAGGCGGGTGTGCGAATGGGGAGGGAAAGAGAGGCTGGGGTTGGCCTCACCGTGTGATGTAGGGACGGGGCAGCGGTGCTCGAGGTGGGTGATGGGGATGAGGCGACAACGTAGAGGACGTCGGGGAGGCAGGCCAGCGTGGTGCCTCCGGCATCGAGCGGCGGGGCGGCGTCGGGCGTCGAGGGCGTGGTCGTGGTCGGCGCGGGGTGGCCTTGGTCGATCCGGCCACGCGGGGATGAGGAGGCAACGACGACGAGGTGGGGCGTGGCGACGTGGTCCCGGCGGCGGCGGCTGGCACCAGGGAGCGGCTCGGGTGCCGATCTAGAGCCAGCGAGGGGGAGCTCCGGCGAGG